TGACCCTTGACATTTTCCCCAAAACCAAAAAAAAAGTTTTTTTTTTTTTTTTTTTGTGAATACTATACCTGGATCCATAATGATTTTCCTTTCAAGCCCCTTCATTTTCCAAACTAATGTGCTGATCAGTCTTAAATCAAACCTTGATGTTGTCCTGGGAGAGCATGTAAGCTTGCACACCTTGATACATAAAAGCTCTTTGATTTTAGCTTAAAAGAACATCAAGTGCATCTATCATTTATCCCTACTTAGCCAACAATGTTAAATCTAAGGATTGGAACAGATTTGGACCGCTCAATCGTTTGCTTTTGATTAAATAACAGCATTTTCAACAACGTTGTTGTTATTACTCTGGGATGAACCAAAAGACCTTGATTAGTTGCTTCAGGTATGTTTGATTGGAGTTAAAGCTCCGCAGGAAGGTAGGTTCCAAGATGTAGCGCCCCTGATTTAGATTGTTCCAGGCCAACAGGTGAATTTCCTTCCGTTTGTGTGCTATCAGCCATCTCTTATGAGACTGAGTGCTTTGGGTACAAGACTCGACACTGCCCCCTACCGTTTTTGACCAGCGCTGCAATCTATGTTCTGTACACCTGCTCTGCGGTTCGCGAAGAGAACTTGAACATCATATGCAAACCAAAATGCAATCGTTTCAGCTCAAACGACAGTGAAAAGTAAAGTGGATTTAAAATTAAGTCAAATTTTAAAACGGATAGGTTTTATCATTGGGAGTGATTAAAACAAAAAATGAAAATTGAGCCACTTAGTGTAGCTAACAAAGCCGAAGCACAGATTTGAGCTCATTATAAAAATGCGCGAGGCTGAGAATGGAGAGTTAAAACTGCCAAGACCCCCCCCCCCCAAATAAGTTCAGCTCCCACCTACATGTCCTAAAATATCAGTAAACTGTCATTAGATGTGACACTGTTTATGTACTAGGCTACATATTCACATTGCTGACCATCGTAGGCTACGTAGCCTATTGTAGACTATCTCTGTTTTCATTGCATTGGCGCCTTTGTTTTGTTGTTGTAAAGCGAGCTACGTTAGCCTATAGAAAGGCGCAATATAAAAGAAACGTTATTGTTTTGCTGTATGTGCCTATGAAAAATATAAGCTGTAGCCTATTAAAAAATGTCTTCTTTACATTTCTGAATAACATCATTCACATAGGCTAGCTATCTGACAGCTGACTGGCAGTGTCTTTCAGTGTCAAACATAGTGACTCGCGATTGTTTTAAAAAGAAATAAGTAAAAAGCTAAATACTGGTTACGGTATTCAAATAACAAATAAAATACGAATAGCCTTTCTGTTAAGGCTTATAAAGTTGCGCGAAAACACAACGATATGTAGGTGTAGCTGAGAGAAAACATTTCCCTCCACCTCTTCTGAGAATCTTATTCGCAAATCCTGTGCAAAAGTAGATTAAAAGTATATTATAAAAAGTAAAAACATGTCCCTCAAATGCCAAACGATGATAAAGGAGAGTGAAATGCAGCGTGTTTTACTTGGGAGCTTGAGCGCTTCGATTCCAAAGCAAAATTCCTCGGATCCTGAACAGAACGTGAGCAGCGAGTAAATTCCGTGTCAGGATAAAGGTATACTGTACTGAATACTGTGTTCATATGTAACATTTACCTTTCTTTGATAAAACTGAGAGAAGAGGACTGTTTAAAAGACATAACATTCCTAATAAGGGTTTTGTTATCACCATAAAGAGAGAAAATGTGCCTATAAACCAGGTTTTATTAGATAACCAGGAGTCTTTAATAATTATTAAATTAGGCTACTAAGATTGCTACTCGTTCATGGGAACCCACTGGCAAATGTTTATTAAAAACATACTTTGACATCTTTGTATTTCTAATGAAACAAAAATAAATGAAATTATATTACATATGTTTATATTCTTCCCAGATTAAAAAAATTAAAAATAAATTTAAAAAATCACAGAGATTCGCTGAAATGTTGATAGTCAGTATAATCTGGCCGCACAACTCTGGACCACAGAAGTTCAGAAAGTACTTAACAGTATCATCCTGCTCCAAGAACATTAGAGGCGGTTTCTATAAATAACTACATTTAAAGGTGAGGTTATGATATCTGAGAGTGTTTTTACCTTCTGATGTTCTTCCTCTGGAGCAAACTCTACCGTACGTAAAACGCAACGCATAAACCGCAAACTCCGCTTTGCGTAGGTCTCCTGTGCAGTGAATCTCTTTTCTGTGAATGACTTCCACCGATCGACCTGCAGCTGCTTTACTGCGCTGTGCTGGAAAGAGGAGGCTACTACAAAAGGGCAGCTGCAATTCAAACGAATGGAGGTGCAAACTCTGTTAGGAAGCTCCAGCTCAAATGTTTGGCACAGTGGTTGCATTAGCTGTTAAAGCTCGCCTTTTACTTTCTAAATAAATTTCTGTAATAGAAACGTTTCTGTTAACCTGTTTCAAATGATCAATAAGACATTGTCATTTGGGATTCAGCAACACCCCTATTTTCAGACTGGATAGTCTGTCCCTAGAATCAGTGAGGTACCATGGCAATTAATTAACTGTTTGGATCTCACAATGTTGCCATAAGTGGCAATATGTCACAATAATCATGCTTTGGTTTTGGTGTGGTGCAGTCAATAAACCCTCACAATGTACCATTGTACCGTTGTACAATGGTGTACCATGATACTCACGATGTACCATTGTACCATGTTATATGGGAATGGCATGACACTTTTATATGTGGTACTGAACAATTACTATATTCATATACCACTGTATTTTCATGGTACAGGCTTTTACAGAGTATTTCAAAGAATTATCAAAGAATGTTCAAAAGCACGTGGGTTTACAGTGATACCAAATACATGGTATTATCTTGGGGCATCTTTTATTAGTGAAGAAATTGGACTTAGTTAGAAGCAGTGTCGGAAATTAACTGTCACAAAAATGTCACAAAAAATTATATATATATGAAAATATATGGTTATCATGTGGTTATATGGTGAGGGGGGAAAAAACATCCACATTAAGGTAAAAATAATTTCTAGATGGCAAATATTTTCCCTTAAAATTGTATCAATTAAAAATTTTAATTAGTTTTTGAAACTGCTAAGAAGAAAACTCCATTAAGAAGAAGAAGAAGAAGAAAAGTCCATTCCAGACAGATTGCAGATATAGATTATCAAGATTATAGAGAGTTACAGTATAATAATTAAATAAGTAATTGCTAATTATTTTAATAATGTGACTACTCAATGTTTATTTCCCCTAAATATGTCTAAAGAAGCTGAAAAGCATTTTTGGCCTATTTCCGCATATTTTTTAAAGATTTATAGATTTAGCTTAATAATAATAAAAAAAATAGATAGGCCTATAAACATTCATAAACATTTAAATTGTCCAACAATATTAACTTTAAATGGTTTATAAATAAACTTTCAAAAAAAAAAAAACTTAAACTGTGACACTGCATACTGTGGAATTACATTATAAACACTGCAAGTTGCAATATGCATTAAGCAGCTGGGGGAAGGGACTTTATTAAGAATTAATGATCAATTAAGACAGTTGTGTGGTACCACTGTCACATCCAGGTGGTGGCACTACAGTGTGTCTGACGCATAAGCACGAACATTGCAAATATGATATGATAATTGTTACTATAGGCCTATTATTAAGTGCTTTCCTTGTGTAATGAGGCATGAAAACATGAGAAAATACTTATTAATAGGGTAATGAAATAGCAACACTGAGGAACTACCTTGGAACAATTAGAAAAATAGTCAAGTATTGTTAAATAAAAATGTATAAAACGGATACTTCTGACTGCCAGTTAATTTGGCTGCTGATAAATTGCTTTAGTTGGCAACCACTGACTGCAGTTAGGCAAATGACATTACTTGGCAAAAGAATGGTTTATTCTGATTGTTAGAGAGAGCTGTTCATCAATCTGTAGGCCAAAACGGAAGATTTTTTTGCCAGTGATCAAAGAACATTTACAGCTGTGTCCCTAGTTTTTACTACACCATTTAACATTTACAACATTTATAAAATCTGCTGTGATTTCAGCAAGGTCCCACAGGTTATAGTGAGTTTTAGTGCATAGTGTTTTTTATGTAATTGTATAATTTTATGCAATTTATATATAATTGTAAATAATTGTGCTTATATTTTCTTTCACATGCATATGTCAGCTTCATGTAAATAAATGATCAGATAATTTTTTATAATTTTAGATATGGCCATTTGCTTGCAAAGCCAGAAATGTTTGAATTATATTTTGTACATTAAACATACATTACAATAGGCTACATTAACATTTTCAGTCTGGCTGTATTTCATTCAATTTAATAGACTGTGCTGAAAATAATTTTGAAATTATCCTGTAACTCGATTCATTCATTCATTGAACACCTCAATGTCATTAGACTAGAATGTCATTTCGCCGTTTCTGAATGGCTGATAAATAATTCACATGAGCTAAAGTCACACACATTTTAATGAACACATCACAAGAACAAGTTTACGGCCGCCTCAATAAACTACAATTCCGAAGAAACTACATTTCCTAAGAAGCACTGCGTTCATCGGGGATTTGAAGGAATATGGATTGCGCTTGCGTAGCCAGACGTGGCAGCGGCATCATGGCTTCTTGGAACCGATACGGGAGACGTTGGAGACTGATCGAAATGTTCTTATTCCTGTCATTGGTGAGTCTTTAAAAGGAATCTGATAGATCCATATAATCAATAATGTTAAATGCGCATATCGGACAGATGTTTTCTGTCTGACGTAAGACGAAAACGAAAGGAAAAGGGAATGATCTTCTGTCCCTCTTGCAGCAGTAGCTCAAAGTTGACAGCAGAAGAGAGAGACAGACTCAGATCAATCCGTCTCATTCATCAGTTCTCGTGTCTTGTTTTCGGTGTTTATACACATGCAGCTGTGTGCTTCACGTGCGTGAACACCGAATGATCCCCATGCAACTGTCTAATGTCAAAAGGATTCACTAATGTCGGTGAAAGGAGATGTATCTGCTATGAAATGTGCTTTTACTTAGGCGTATTGCTTTGATATGAATGCGTCATGTAATGTTAGAGGTGTTCTTGAATTACTGTAGAGGTTTTATTTGGGTCAGTGATGTAATGTGATGCTCATTAATTTTGTCCAGATCTATTATGTTATTCAAAAATACTTGAAAAGTGCATTAAATTTGTGCACATCATGCACCTGTTCTATGATGAACGAGTATTCAGTGTCTTAATTAAAAGTCATTTTGATGTTTTGATTTTCATTTTTAGGTGATGTGTAACTATCTGAAAATTGTTTAAAAGGTTTAAAAAACAATAATAAAATAAAGAGAGAAAAAAGGCCTGGGAAAAAACTGTTCATCATAAGTTTTTATTTTATTATTTCTCAAAAACAATAAGAAGTAAATTGTAGTAAGAAGTAAAGTATTATTAATATTTTAATTGTTGAAAGTCTTATCCATCAGATTAAAGTAAATGTAATCAACATGCAGGAAGCCATTTTGTTGTCTTGTGATAAGAAAACCATAAAACATAGAAGACCTTTTGGGCCTTCCATGACTGTGTCATTTAGTTTTTAACTTCTGGGGAAAAAAGGCAGCAATTTGAATTTTTTGTTAACGACCGATGAAGAAACTCCAAGGAAACTTGTTGATATCCATGCATCAGTTTGATGCATGAGAAATATGTTTGGAAACTTTATTGAAAATGATGATTTAGTTTTGTACGCTCATGTGTATATTTTTTACTTGGTTATATCAAGTAACCATTGCATTTAACACTTATAGAATCATTCAATCAAAAGTATAATTTAAACTAATATGAGCGTTTTCCAATATGCCAACATGAATACAAATGGCACTTGTGTTTTAAATTGTATTTTTACTAAATCTGACCCATTATATTGACCCATTTATCAACAACATATGAAGCTATGTGAAACCAGCTGATATTTCTACTTCTCTATTATGATTACATTTGATCATTATCTTACAGTTTGTGTTCGGGTGTGGCTTATGTTTACAGTAGCAATAACCTTGATCGGAGCGTTTTCTTCTTCTCCGTCTTCCTTGTTCTCCTCTTAATGAACATGACAGAAATGAGCTTGTAATGTTTTCAAGCTAATTAACCCACATTTGCTTCAGTTTATAGTGCATCAACCATGTTCCACAACTGATCTGTGAATCAATGTGGGTTGTGTCCTCAACACCGAACCCTAATAGCCGCTCTGCCACGTCAGTCAACTCTCATTACGCAGGAGCTTTCCTGTCTCACATCCTGTTTTGTGCCTGCCACTGCAAACAAAGGTACTCTCCCGAACTGTTGGGACTTTGTGGTGGTTGGGTGGGGGAAGAGAAACCGCTCTCTGCTATCTGTGCTTCCCTCCAGCCCTCACACTTGTCAGAACAATTTATAAAATCTCTTAATCTTGATTACAGGCACCCCACAACCCCCCCTCTTCCCCACATTGCTTGGTCCAGCAGGATGCTGTGTATGGAGACAGCTAACTGTACAGTAAACTATTGTGACTCAGTGTGTGAGAACGTTTGACTCATAGATCGACCGTTTGTGGAGTTGTGGAGTAATTTCCTTCTGTTTGTGAATTACCTACGTCAGCTATGCAGAGCTGAAGCCCCCTGTGTTGTTTTGCTCAGCAGGAAGAAGGTGCGTGTTTGAGGAACGGCACAGTTTATGCTGAATCAGTGAGACCCTAAAAGTGGAAATGTGATTTTATTTATTAAGCAGATTTGCGATGCCGGTTGCGCCGTGCATGCTTGATGACAGCTTCCACTGCTGATTAAGCAAGATGTTTTTGCGTTGATGTATGGCAGATCATTTTTTGTTTAAATGTTTCCCATGCTGTGCAAAACATGTCAGCAAGGTCCACTGCTGAAATGCTGGTGTCCTTGAGCCAAAGATTAATAGCAGGAGTGCTAGCATCCATAAATTATGGTCATATACAACAAGCTGGACATAATTGGAACGCTGAGGAATTATATACTGTGCTATAGAAGAGCTTTGCAAATTTAAAACAGTATTTTTGGGGGGGAAAGAGGAATTGGAAATGGACAATATTGTTGAATGAGAATTAGTTTCTTATTGCTAACTTACCCCCCCCCCCATGTTGTTCCAAGCTATTTTCTTTCATCTGTGAATTACAGTAGATGATGTTAGGTAGAATGTCCGAGCTTCTGTTTTCCATGCAAGTAAAGTAGATTTGTAAGGTTTATGAAAATTCTGTCGTCCTTTACTCACCATCAAGTTGTGCAAAGCCTGTATGAATTTATTTCTTCTGCTGAACACGAAAGAAGATATTTTGAAGAATGTGGGTAACCAAACATTTGATGTCCCATTGACTTCAATGGTGTCCCCCCACCCACCCACCAAATACTATGGGAGTCATTGGGGACAAATGACAACTTGGGGGTGAGTAAATGATGAAAGAATTTTTATTTTTGGTTGAGCTATACATTTAAGCTGTAAGACATAAAATAGTCCATATAAATTGGGTGCTTTAATGTAGTGTTCTGAAGTCATATGTGTGATCAATATATTTCATATTTGCTGCATTGTATGTTGGTCATGAGATTTGAGAGTAAATAAATAGATTTTCTATGAATAAGAGACATTTTGGTCTGTTCATCACAAAAGATATTGTATGTCTTCAGGAGATATGGATTATTTTATTATATTTTATTGTTGGTTTGGGGTGAGTAAGATGTATTTTTGAAAGTGAGAAATTAATACTTTCAATCAGCAAGGACACTTTAAATTGATCAAAAGTGACAGTAAAGACTTTTAAGTTGTTACAAACAAAAAAAAACATTTATTTCAAATAAATGCTGTTCTTTTGAACTTTCTATTCATAAATGAATCCAGAAAAAATGTATCACATTTTTCACAAGAATATTAAGCAGCAGAGCGGTTTCAACATTGATAATAATAAGAAATGTTTCCAAATCAGCCCTCTACGGACACCTTGGCAATTGAATCGCCATTGGCTAGTAAATTTTTTAGTTTACTCGCCAGACTGATTATTTATATATATATACAATCGCTTAGGAGTCATTCTTGTCTACAACTGCTCCGGCGGTGAAACAATGATGGACTGATGACAGCTCACTCAGGGCGGAGCTAAGGTAAGACGCCAGTCCAGTCTGTCAAACTATCGTGGGAGGGGCCTGTTTTTGTGACGTCACACAGACAGGCATCTGAGATCGGCTCGATTTGAGAAAGGGGAAAACATTTAACAAGATTTTAAAAAAACACTGGGTGGATTTTTATCATTATAGGGTGGTTGTGTACACACACTGCCAACACACATTTCAGTTCAAACAACTTGTAAAAGTGCATGTAGCATCCTATGACCCCTTTAACAATGCAAATGAAAAAGGTCATATCATCATACTTCTATTATTTTAACTTTCCCCTTAGTTTCAACTATGGCAGTCGAGGTTTATTAATTTATAAATAAAAATTTAGTTTTTTAATTAGGTTAACTTTTTTCACCCTCTCTGACCCTTAGAATTCAACAGGACAATTTTTGCTGCCCTGCCCTTAAGACTTAAACACTTTCTTCTATAAATGAGATTTCTAGAAATTAGCATTTTGCTGCATTTATTTTTGGGAAGAGCATTTGCTGGCAGGTTCAATATAGTTTGCATTGCTCCATTCTTTGTTAAGCATGAATTACATTGGGACAGGTTTGCAAACCAATTTGTACTGAAATGTGCTGTTCAGAGACTTTGTTTAAAACTTCAGCCACTCTTTTCTAATGCTGGGATCCCTTGTAATCAAATGCAGAGCAGAAGGTGCTACACACAGCCAGGAACAGCACAAGTTTGGACTTAATTTACTCTTATTGATTTGTATTTTTGTGTTTAGCTATAATAGTATATGCTGCTTTTTCTTATTATTGTCTCACTGAGCCAAAGTTTTGAAAACCAAATAAGCATAGTTGACGTCTAAATGTGGTTATACTGTATTCTACCTGACATCAAGAGGTGCAGAGTGATTCAGAACGAGCCATTTCAACTTAGTCTTATTGAAAAAATTCATCTTTTATGATATATAACCCATTCAAAGTTAATGTTGGACTTGAGTAACTTGATGAAAGAAAGATGGTTCTTTCAAATACTTCAGTGAGTTGCACTGACATTTCTTCATAATGCATCACGATGTCTGCTCCCCCTGTCAGCATGGCTGAAGTCAGAGGAGGTGTGATTTCTCAGGTCCCTCAGCTTTGCAGTACTTTAATTAGCCCTGACTGTCATCTTCACACACTCCCAAGGCTCTGGGGCCGCTGGGATGTCACACAGTCGGCACAGGTTGTCCACACCGCTGGACCCCATTTGCTCATACAGAGTTGATTAAATGTGAGGAGGATAAGAACGTTGTCTCTGATCCTTCACCCTTTGTCTTTAATCCACAGAAAATAAACTTTTTAATTTCCAGTGGCACTTGAATTGAGATTTATGTCCATAAATATAAAAAAATATATTAATAACCATGAAACTGTATTTTGCATTATTGTTCTATAAAATGATTCTAAATTTATTTTATTTATTTATAATAACTTTTATTTATGATTTGTTATCTTTTAATGTAAATACGGAAATTCAAGAAAAATGTCTGTTTTCAAAATTGAGTTTCAAGCATCTGCCATTGTTTAAACAAACAGG